TGTATTACAAAAACTGTTGATTGCCTTTTCATTTTTAATGTTTTCTTTTGATGAAAAGCTCTTATAATTTTAATGTAGTATAATTTATCAATTTTCCCTTTACAGTTAATGCTTTTCTGCCCAATGTATGTGTATCCTAAAGTCATGATGATTATTCTCCAATCTCTTATACTTTACAAATTAAAAGCATTATTTTTTTTTACCACTCATATTTATATCTATAACTTGTAATTCTGCATGCAGTATGAGATGGGTTAAGATTTGGTGTTCCACACAGATATCCCATTAAACCGGCTCCATTAACTGAAAAGACCTTTCTCTTCATTGAGCATCAGTGTCCGTTTTTTAAAAAATCAGTTTGTTTCTAGACTCTCTAATTTTGATTGGTTCTTTAGTATATCCTTTGACCAATACTACATTATTTTGATCATCTTTTTAATAGATCATGAATATCTGGTATTTAAGACCACAGTCCATTCTTCAGTGTTGCTTTAGTTAATCTTTGCCTTTACATTTCCATGTTAAATCATAGAATAGCTTAATTTCCACAAATTCTTCCTGAGATTTTCACTGCCAGTACATGATTTTAGAGAAATAACTTCCTTCGATTTTGTTTTCAGATCATCAGTATGGTCCCTAATGGTATATATACTTCCCACTTATGTCTTTATCTTTTTGTTATATATCTGATATTTTCAATGGCATTACAAAATGACAGTATTTTAAGCTTCATTTTCTAATTGTTGGTTTAGAAAGAATAAAAAGAAAGGTTCATATATATATTTTTTCTTTTTTTAATATTGAACTTGTCTGTAGTGACCTTGCTAAATCAACTAGTTTCAATAGTTGGATCTTTCTGGAAATGTCTATGTACAAAATTATGTCATATACAAATGACATGTCTTTCATTCCTAATCCTTATGCCTTTTCTTCATCTTGCTTTACTGAAATGGTTGGTACTTCCAAGATAATGCTAAATAGAAGAGGTGAAAGCAATATTATTGTCAGTTTTCCTATTTCTGGGAGGAAACTTTCAATAATTGACCATTATAGATGACGACCCCTGTACATTTTTCAAGGATAACTTTTTTTTAAAATCAGGTTGAGGAAGATCATTTTTTTCCTAATTTGCTAAGTTTTCTTAAAAATCATAAACAGGGACTGAAGTTGATCAAGTGTTTCTTATGCTTCCAGAGATGATCATGGAAGAGACTGAAGTTCTCTCTTTTCTTAGTAGCCTGGAAGAGTTCATGTAAAACTGATTATTTTATTTTTCTTGAAAAACTTAAAAGCATTACCCAGTAGAAACATACATACAAGCCTGAGATTTCTGTGGGAAGGACTTTTTTTAAATTAAGAGATTCAATTTCTTTAATACAAAAATTGTATTTCTTCACAGGGTCAGTTTTAATAAATTATTATCCAAAACATTTTTCCATTTCACCTACATTGTCAGGTTTATTGATGCAAAGTTCTTCACAATACTCTTTTTAAGGCCTGATGGCCCCAGTGATGTCACCATTTAAATTCTTCTTAACAGTGATTTGTCTTTTTCTTAATCTTGCTGGAGGTTCACAATTTTACTATTCTGAGATTTTGTTTTGTATGCCTGTTCTAAATTTTTTGCTTCTATCTTTACTTCTGTTTTCATCAGTGATATGAAATAGTGAATAGAAATAGTGAACAGAAATAGTCAGTGATGCCATCCAGCCATCTCATCCTGTCATCCCCTTCCCTTCCTGCCCCCAATCCCTCCAAGCATCAGGGTCTTTTCCAGTGAGCCAACTCTTCGCATGAGGTGGCCAAAGTATTGGAGTTTCAGCTTCAGCATCAGTCCTTCCAATGAACACCCAGGACTGATCTCCTTTAGGATGGACTGGTTGAATCTCCTTGCAGTCCAAGGGACTCTCAACAGTCTTCTCCAACACCACAGTTCAAAAGCATCAATTTTTCGGCACTCAGCTTTCTTCACAGTCCAACTCTCACATCCATACATGACCACTGGAAAAACCATAGCCTTGACAAGACGGACCTTTGTTGGCAAAATAATGTCTCTGCTTTTTAATATGCTATCTAGGTTGGTCATAACTTTCCTTCCAAGGAGTAAGTGTCTTTTAATTTCATGGCTGCAGTCACCATCTGCAGTGATTTTGGAGTCCAAAACAATAAAGTCTGACACTATTTCCACTGTCTCCCCATCTATTTCCCATGAGGTGATGGGACCAGATGCCATGATCTTAGTTTTCTGAATGCTGAGCTTTAAGCCAAATTTTTCACTCTCCTTTCACTTTCATCAAGAGGCTTTTTAGTTCTATACCCCAAAATGTATCTCAAGAATTTTCTTTTCACTCAGTCTATAATTTCCAAAGACATCTCATACATAGATTGTGGCTTCAAAAACTACCTATATGATGTTGATTTAAAAATCTTTTTATCTATCAGAACAGAATAATAATCCCCACTTCCCCAGTCTACTTTCTAGTTTCTCATGTTATATTATAATAAGGTTCACAACTAACCTAACTTCCCTGTCTTCTGACTGGTCCTATTCTTTGTAGATTACCCATCCCAATGAATAATGTACCCCATTCCTAAGTTAAAAACCCGATAGCTATCTGTAACTTTTTCTGACATCCACCTAATAACCAGATATTGCTAACCCTTGTTCCTTAGTCTCTTTCAAATCCATGCCTTCTTTCTTATCACCACCACTACTATTCTTATTCAGCACTCATAATTTTTTCTCCTGACTTCTCAACAGGCTTGTTTACTGGTCTCCTTGTCTCTATTTTTTCTCTCTACTAATAATTTTTCACAGATATCTCTTTAAAGCAGAAATTTGATCATGTCATTCTTGTACTCAAATTTTCTTAACTGCTCCTGTGAGATAAATAAATTTCTTGACATTGTACAAAAACAAATTTCTTTATGAAATTAGTCTTACCTTGCTATGCACTCTCCACTTAAAAAAAAAAAAGTGACATAATTTAAAAATAACAAACAACTCTTACATGAGCTTCTCACATGTCAAGTACCTTGTTACATCCCCATTTTCTAAACTGTGGTGTTCCCTCCACTTAAAGTCATCCCTCCATCATTATTACTAATTACCACCCCCCCCCTCAGTTTCTAGAACCATTTTTCACATATAGAAGACAGTAGTATGGTTAATCAAAGACTTCTTAAATAGAAAATAACTTGATTATTCAATAAATACAAATTCAAATTTATACTTATGTATTTAATTTTATTTGGTATATACCACTATGACCTTATTTTAACTGAAATCCAATACAGGATTTTTTTATGATTAGTCAACTCCACAAAGACAATAATACTGCTGTGGAAGACCAAAGGGGGGAAAACTGATATATTTATTTACAGTTCCCTATATTGTAAACATTTAATCTATACACTGTTAGTAACTTTTAATGTGAGCTTTACATAGACAAAGAAACGATGCCCTGCATTTCTATTCATATTCAGCAATAGCATATTAAATAGAATATCAGATTTTCTTTTTCATTAGCATTATGCTTTCTTTAGATATCTAAATTTTCAAAAGATCTAAATATATTCAAGTACTATACAACTAAAACTACTTAAGCCAACATATTTGGCTTATAATTTCATTTTTAGAATAATTTAAAGTGCTATAAGCAACCTGGCAATCAACACTTTCTATAAGAACAAAACTACCTTTAAACATTAATTTACAAGATAATATACAATGTTTATCTGGAATAGCTGAAATTTCAGCACAAGGTCACTGTCACATATATAACAGCAGGATTCTTTTTTTTTTTTTGCATAACATGAAGCTTTGAAATTAACTGATGAATTATTGCCATAATGGCTTATTATTGGTTTCCTACAAAAGAGGATAAGAACTACTGATATATTCTATCTTTTTTTTTTTGAGGTCACTTGACAGTAAGTCTGCATATTCAACAAGTCTACTGAGTTACAATATTCTACTATAATCACTGCCCTTTTGTAACAGCAAATGCTAATGGTAATAACACATACCACTCAAAAAAAAAATCACAAGTTTTTTTTTTTTCCTTTTGAATAGGAAGCTATATTTTGGGAGTTGGTGTGCAACAAGGCTAAAACAACTGAACTATAAAACAGTTTACCTGACACAATATGTTGACGAAATATGCGTCTGTTTCATAGTTTTTTAGTTATGATAATGCCCTGCTAAGCTACAAATATGTAAATAGATATTTTCTTGCTTGATATATTAAGTTCAGTAGAATCATCAAGTTCTCATTCTCCTTTGTCATTTTATAACTCTTCATCAGACAATTCAATGATGAAAGCATAAGCCCAAACCTGAAGACCATGTGCATTGTGGTCTATTACAATCAGAATTCTCCTCAAATTTCATTTTTATTAAAATGAAATTGAGAATACAGGCAAAATTAATAAAGAGAATGAAGTAGTGTGAATTAAAACTAGAACTCAGTGATCTATGAAGTACATGTTGTTTTGGCATGTGTTTTTTCCTTTCTAAAAGTAACTAGGTTGAGCATGTCCAATAGTCATTTGTGCCAACCTCACAGATAATGGCAGTATCATGTATTCATTCCCTTGATATCTCAAGTTAGACTACTATAGTAAAACAATCAATGTGGTTTAAAAAATAAAAAACCAAAACAGGTTCAACAAAAGAGCACCATCCTATTAGGAGACTGAGAAAACATGGATTATAGAGGAGGTGGTCACTATGATTAAAATGCTACCAAAATTTTGACAAAACCTAAGCTGTTAAGTTCCATGGACCCATGCCATGATATAAACCTAAAAACGTCCAGGACAGAAACATGATTTTAAAAATAAATTCCAAAATTATAGCTATAATAAATGGTGATATGAACTAATTTTAAAACACAAGCTACATGTTACATTGTATTGCTTCTTGAACTTTCCAAACAATGCTTGTTTGTCCATGTCAGGTTTGGGCCATTATCCTGCTAAGACTGAGAGCATTATATTCATTCAAAAGCCCAGATTTCAATGTCTTGGATAAAGAAATCTTCCTTCTTAGAAAGTGTATGATTCCCAAATGTTTTACAAGAATGGCTTCTTCCATGGTAGAGATCTCCATCAAGCCACAGGGCAAATTCTCCCCTGTAATATATAGAAGAGAACAGTTCCAACAAGAGTCTTTTAATACTTATGCCCTAAGTTATAAAAGAATAATTGCAGAGGCTGTAAAATATTAATTTAATGAGACATTTCAATAGCCAACAACTCTAAACTCATTCTTTTTTCCAAGCCGTTCTCTACTCCTTTCCACACTGGCACAAGACAACTTTTTTGTTGTTGTTGTTCATATCCCATTATAAAATCACTGAACATACAGAGCAAGGAATATAATGAACCCTCTAAAATTAATTTCACAAAGAATTAGCTTTTGAAGCAGGCACTACTCTGTTATTCTTTGTCTGGTATTACAAATTTCTCTCTGCTGTTTGATTTTAACATATTTAATATGAGTTTCTCAGAGACATGAAAACTCCCTATCATCTAAAATAAAAAGTGTGGTTAGTGTTAAGGGTTCAATCTCCAATTCACAGCTGAGGAAACTGTAGACTTGAGTTGTTCAAGGTCCCACACATAATGTGTACTAAAGCTGAGAATTTGAATCAGGTCTGATTCTAAATCCTAAATTCAGTCTATTACATGATTTTGATTTCTTTGGGGCTCCTGTTTGGAATTCTGGAATATCAAGTCCCTTCCTCCCATTTCCTGAGACTGTACTCTCCTTCTTCAAAGACTGTAAACTTGTTCTAATTTGTTATCAAATGACCTAATTTTTTATCAGCTTGCTGGAATCATGGTGTATCATCAAAACCAAGTTCCAGCAGACATCTAATGACACTGTGTATGTTACTCTGAAAGACTGAAGGCACGCTTAACAGTTTGAAATTATAAGCCACTTGCTTGTGAGGCTTTCCTAGAGAGCTAACTGAATCACATTAAGACTACCATTTCGAGGAGGGCTGACTGACTGCCCCTCCCCACCAAAAAAGATTTAACTGGAACATATGAACACCATACGCTGATTCCAATAATTAAAAATAACATTGTTTTTAGTTACCCAGTTATGTCCTTCAGAGAAGGCTATAATAACCATGCTTAAATTTTAATCACTGAAATCATGTCTTCCAAATACCTATCTACAGAGAAGTTGTTAAGAGAATTTGTTAGAATCGGGATGATGCATATTCAGGCTAATAAGATTCTGTAACCTGAATGAATTATTATTATTACATATATCCTCAAATGCAGGAAATAAATAACACATAAATTTGGGAATTATTTAGCATGTATTATGTCTTATTTTGAAGGACACAGAGAAGTAACAAATGAAGGAGGTCACATCTGCCAAGAGCCAGTTAAGAAGTCTGGGCTAGGAGGCAGTAGAGCCATCGATCTCCAACCACCACGCAGACCAAATGAAGCTGGAATACCAGAATAAGAAATCGAAGTTTCCTGCAGTGCTTGCTATGCTAAAAGAATCAAATCAAACTGCTGATTACTCAAACTGCTAAAAACAAAATAAATAAGAAAACAAGCCCTGAAAACTGTGAGGAGGTGGGATCACTAAAATTTTTAACAGGTAAACAGACTTCTATTGTCTAAAATATCAATCCAAATAGTCTCCATGGTAGAATAATATGAAAAATTTTAGACCTTTTTTAAAAACAAGAAATTGAAAAAAAGAATTTATCACCATAATTTTTTGAAAATTTGAGGAGCTCAAAGGGATTAGTATATTTCTCTTTCAAATATCAAGGAGTCACTATACTCTACAAGATGGGTTTTAATTGAAAGGGAATCAACTAAACAGTATTCTGAGATGAATAAACAAATATTCTATCAAGGGTTTCATATATTACACTTAAGTACTTTCCTGCAAATATATACTTTCTTAGTCATAATATAAAAATTAGTCATAATATATAAATCAGGATTCTAATGTCAAAACTTTTCAAAGATAGCTGATTTAAAAATAACACAAATGAATTCTTAAAAGTTTCTTTTAAAATCTCATAGTCAAATTTTCAAGAGACTTACCCTCCACCACCAAAAGCAAGTGAATCCATGTCTCCTTTGATAAAAAACATATTATCTCCTGTCCACTTAAAGACCTACAAAAATGAAAAAAAAAAAAAAATTTAAATATGTAGATGAAAATGATTACTACAGTTAGTTCTCCTGAATTCCAAATAGTTAATAAAGCCTAGACAGACAGCAAGAAGACTAACAAGAACAGAAAAAGTTTGGGCCGAAAGGGTGGTGGCTTTTGCTTTCAGTGTTTGTAAGACTAAGTTTGAAAGCATGAGTTCAACTGCAACATAATTTAAATACACAAATCTTGCTATTTCTTCATATATGCAAATTTTTCTGACTACACAGGTATCAAGAATTCAATGGTTAATGAGAAATGTTAAAGAAAGTAAATCAGCTAAAAACTGAGTAGATGCTATTTTTAACATCAAATTTAAGTGAAGTAAAAGTCGCTCAGTTGTGTCCAACTCTTTGCAACCCCATGGATTATACAGTCCATGGAATTCTCCAGGCCAGAATACTGGGGTGGGTAGCTGTTCCCTCTTGCAGGGACATCAAATATAAATGTGTATTAATTTGATAATATTTTAATATTTTGGTATATGGCTAAGGTCTTTTCTTTGGGTATGAATTGGTCTATCATTATTCTCATAAAAATGGGTAACATGCTTATGACTTCCAGTTACAATTTCTTTAAAGAGCAATGAATATAAAAACATTTGAGAAATTCCAGGGTAAAAACTTCCAGATGTTGGGTTTCCCTGGTGGTCCAGTGGTTAAGAATCCTCCTGCCAATGCAGGAGACATGGGTTCAATCCTTAATCCAGAAAGATCCCACATGCTGCCAGGCAAGTAAGCCCATGTGCCACAACTACTGAAGCCCACAGGTCCTGGAGCCTGTACTCTGCAACAACAGAAGACACCACAATGAGAAGCCCACAACTAGAGAGTGGCCCCTACTCTCCATAACCAGAGAAAGTCCATGTGCAGCAACAAAGACCCAGAGCAGCCAAAAAAACAAAAAAAAACAACTTCTAGTAATATTCTTAAATATTTTCAATCTTTCATGGAAGTTCTACCTAAACTTAATATTAATCCAATATCAATTTGTAGCACCTCGTCTTTACAAACAATTTCCGAAGTATTCATTATAGTTCTCAATAAACTAACACTTTTTCATAGGTACATAACATTTGTTTAATTGCATTGTTAGTTAACAGGTAGAAACAGTATCACAAATAGGACTGAAAACAAGCACAACTGAAACTTCCAAAATCTGTTAACAACGAGAAGCTTCCAGCGAGCTGCAGGTGTCAGTTGCTATGTTTCATGGAAGGAATGGAAAGCACTGGTTACTCTGGTGAGCCACGTAAACCCAAGCTCGTTGAGAGAGTTCTCCTTGTGCTACCAAATTATATTTTGCTCGTGACTCCCTAGTGGCTTAGACGGTAAAGAATCCGCCTGCAATGTGGGAGACCTGGGTTCAAACCCTGGGTTGGGAAGATCCCCTGGAGGAGGGAAAGGCTACCCGTTCCAGTATTCTGGCCTGGAGAATTCCATGGACTGTATAGTCCATAGGGTCACAAAGAGTTGGACACAGCTAACACTTTCACTTTCTATAAGCTGTGCTTAGTCACTCAGTAGCTTCCAACTCTGCGTACACATGGACTGCAGCTTGTCAGACTCCTCCGTCCATGGGGATTCTCCAGGTTAGAAGACTGGAATGGGTTGCCCTGCTTCCTCCAGGGGATCTTCCCAACCCAGGGATTGAACCCAGGTCTCCTGCATTGCAGGCAGATTCTTTACTGCCTGAGCCACCAGGCAGGCATGAACAAAATAGAATTTGGTAACACAATAAAAACTCTCCTAACAAACTTGGGTTTAAGTGGCTCACCAGATTAACCAGAAGCTGTTCCTAGAGACAACTCTTTGTTTTTTTAAGCAACTGTGTTGGTTCCTATTTTCAAGATTAAAATTTTATCTCCCAGGAACTGTCTGACCAGACTGAATCAGACTGTACTAGAGCACTAAGACTGCACTCGATGCTTCAGAGTAGCACATTCACTAAAATTTATGTACATTTAAAAATTTTAAATCTTATTGGCATTAGAATGTATCTACTTTAGTCAAGTCACAATAAAGAAAAATCAGGTATTCACTTTTGATTTAAACCCAAGTGATTTATTTTTTAAGTTTTCAAAACTGACTTTCGTTATTAAGCTTATTTAGTAAGTAAAGGTTTCTAGAAATTTTACAATGACAATTCATAAACAAAACAGTAATTATAATGTATACTTCTTACCCGGCCCACAATGTGTGCCTGGTACCACATCAAGTGTTATACATATATGATTCTCTTTTAATTTTCAAACAACCCTATTACATTTTATGATCCCCATTCTAACCACAGCAAAGTTGAAGGTGAAAATAGGAAGGGGAAAAAAAAGTACTACGTTAACAGTAAAAGGCAGAAACTGAGAGTCAAATCCAAGTATGCAAAACTCCAGACTGAATGTTCTGTTCATGATGCCATCTCTTCACAAACTGGAATAACTGTCCTTACCTCAAATTCTGGACAGAATGTAAAAACAAAGGTCTCTCCAGTACCATAAAAGCCATCACTCACTTTAAATGGCTCAGATGCTAATGCACCGAAAACCTAAGGATTAAAAAAAGGCATGTTCAATGACACAACTATCAATTTGTTTCTGTAAGCATTAGCCCATTATATATGTTTAAGTAAAATACAAAAAAAAAAAGGAAATATACTGTAGTTTTATCTATCTGTACTTAAACAGACAAGCATGATCAGTTGTTAAACAACTCACATTATTGGCAGGTATAAACATATCAGTTTCTCAGTGGGAAAATGCTAGATTTTTCCTAGTTTTGAAATCTAGAAAGATGTTCATTATAACAATTGAAAAAGACAATCTAAAAAAGTGGTAGACACATTTCAGGATGACAATGTACATATAATAAAGACAACAGCAGTTGTGGTACTGTAGCACTTAAGAAAGCAAAAACCCTCCAGCATAGGTAAACATTCTACCACTAAAAAGGAATGCTCGTTTTTTCTTTATTATACAGTATATTCCATGAGGACAGAATTTGGGTCTGAATTGTTCAGTACTGTAATGCCTTGGCCTTACACAGTACAAGACACACAATGAATAAGAGGCCTGGACAAGTCATTTCAATCTCTAGGTCTAAGGTTTCAGATCATGAAATGGGAGTGTAGAGTCTGACTGATGATCTCTATAGTCATTATATCCCCTATATTCTATTTTCATACTCTTAATTTTTAAATAGATTTTCTTATTGTAAGCTACGTTTATGTGTATAAATATATATATGTATAAAATATAATTATATAGCTCGCTATGGAATAAGCACAAAGCAAAGTCCCATTTAACCTTCATTCATATTAAGAAACAGGACGTTACCAGCACTCTGGAAACTCTCTTTGTGCCTCCTCCCCAAAGGAAGCTACCAGGTCTGACGACACCAAAGATTTGTTCTGTCCATTAATGAAACTACTGTTTCAGGGACAACCAATGTTTTTCTTGCATATCTGTGACTTTGTCCTTGGTCTCATCCTCACAGTTATCTTTAACTTTCAAAACTTTCTCCACACTTCAAGGCTGTCAATTTTCACCATTTCCCTGAACCTCACTCTTATCTCCTCTAGACAGAAATGAACAATATAAACATCCCTTTTACTTTTATAGGTTCTCACTATACTAGGCATATTTTGCTTGGCATTAGAGATACTCCCATACTTTAATATTTTTTTTTTCTACCAGACTGTAACTCTTTGAAGGTAGGAACTCTTTAATTATTCATGCTCATATCTATCCCTCTGCAGAACTCAGCATTGCCTTGCATATCAAGAGCACTCAATAATTACCAAATAAACTTAATAAAATATACTAATGTTTTTTATCAAAAGAATATGCTAAAATTCCTGCTACTTCCATCTCTTAAAAGGTAAGGTGTCTATGTTATTACTTTTCATACCTGCCCATCACTGTCTTTAATCACCATCAGCACTGGAGTGTCTAAACCTGTCATTGTTCGATAAAGGGTCTTCAAGCTTGTGCCATGCTTCCCAGTACCATAAACAAGAGTCCATGGATAGCCAATTGTTCTTGGTGGAAGATGCTTGGTAAGCTTTGAAAAATAAATTGTTAACACATACTTGATAGCTTCTTATTGTCAATCTGCAGAAGACTAATGCCAGTTGGAATTAAATGATACTTTATAACATGTGGGCTATAAAAGTAACAGTAGAAATTATTTATCATTATGAAAGATACAGAGATGCTTGAAGAATATCTGTACATTTCTTGATATGAAATACTAATTATTCATTAGACAAAGAAAGACTCATACCAAACAATACATACATTAGAGGCAAGAAACATGAATCCCTTATTGTTTGCATCCTCTGTATCAAATTAACAAAAATATCAGATGAACTGTTACCTAGATTATTAACACCTCTCAAATCTAGAGTAAGACTCTCAGAATTAGAAATCAAGCTTCAATATGTTACAGCTATATGGCTCTGAACATTTATTCAACCTCTCTAAACCCAAGTTTCTTCATTTACAAAATGTGACAATAAAAGCATCTAACTCCTACAGGGGCTGCAACAACTAAATTAGATAACCTATATAAAGCAGGTAACTGGTACGCAGTAAGAAATTAAATACTGGCTATTATACTGTCTCACCTAAATTACTATTGCCATTTATTTTAACATCTGGTTACCCAAATCTCCTAATATCTTCCATTACATTAATTGCTATAATTTGTTTACTTTTTCTTCACTGAAGAGTAAGAATAGGAGCAACAGCCCTGCTTCTTCAGTTTTTAAATCAACTCAGAAGAAGCTATTTACTCTCATGGGCACATATTCAGAAATGTACAAAAGTAGGTATATCATACCTTTTCAATTTGATCTGGCAGTAAGAGATCACTGGGATCACTTAGGTTTGGTCGAAAAGATTCAGATTCCAGGTCTGCTTTCACTGGAGTAATATGCTTGGAATTTATGTCTTCCCTCGTAGTAATCTAAAGAAGCAAATAGAAGCAATATATTAATGTAAAACTGCAACAAACCTTTAAAATTTTTAGCCTTTTGAGAGATATCAAATCCTATACCTTGAAAAAGGTGGCTAAAGCTTTAATTTAGGATTGTAGAAGGCAAAAGATGCTCCATCTAATAACAATGGCATGTCTAATGTAGAAAGAGATTTCTGCTAAAGTAGACATTTTCCTCATCCACTACATGAATAAGGACAGGTATTGAAAGATAAACCCTATATTTCTGTGTAAAAACAGTAAATTGCATGCAAACTATACTTCTTCTGTTGAAGGGCAAAAGTGAGCAAGCTGGCCTGCTTTTTTCTCTGTGCTACTTAAAGAGATTATTTTTATGAGATTATTTTATTCATGGTAAACAAAATTTGCCAAAAATAATTAAGAAAACTTCCTGGGTGCCAAAATTTTAATTAAAAAAATAGTACAATAAAAAGTATAATGCTTCACTGGTGTGCATGTATATGTGAATTTATATGCTTTGAAAAGGTTACTGTTATTTTTTTTAATGCCTTTAAAATTTTTACTTTCTAAACACAAATTTTTTTTAATCTAATTGAACCAAACAATACATCTAAAAGTTAACTTGTTCACAAACCTATTTTCTAAATTAGAACAATTTGATGCACTGAAAAGAATGTATATGTTTGTTTGATGAAAATGATCTCACTGATATTCTTAAAATGATAAAAATGTTCATTAAATAAGAATAAATTCTTTTAGAATGTATTATGTTGGCACTTTTTCATGTTAATTTAATCTATAAAATGCAATAATATTAGAAAGTAAAATATATGAAAACATAAGTATTACTGATGAAACTTTTAAATCAGAAAACAGAATTCTATTGGAGCAGATAACTAAAATGCAGCAATTTTCGGCGACTGTGATTCCACACAGGAATGAAATCTTGCTAAATTATTTTGTTCCTTTAACAGATTTCTTACCAAACCTTAACAACATACATTTTCAACCAATACATGTTCTACAACTGTATTGTTTTTTGATGAGAACTATATTAATTCTTTCACATCATCATGTTTTACCCTTATTTTGATAATGTGAAAGGTTAAAAAAAAAAAAATCCGAGGCAGCATGAGAAGCATTAAAAGATAAAAATTCAGGAAAGCGTATCTCATTGAGAAAAGGAAAACACACAATAATACACAAAACTGAAAAATGAGTTCAAATATATAGTTATTTCTGAAAAATCACACAGATTATTTCACATATTTTAAAATAATTTATCTAGTTCTAGTGCCTAATCGATACTACTCCAAAATATTTCTAATACTAACCAGGAAAACCTCAAGGACAAAAACAATTCATCTCATTAAGATATTTGATGTAAAGTTGATACAAGTGAAATAGCCTTAAAGAGAACCTTGCTATCCATTAAATTTTTAAACATTTCCCCATAGTACCACATCTTCCAGATTCCGTTTAGTAAACATTCAATCTCAAACTCAAGACATTCTTCCAATGTTAAATGAAAACTCCTCACCAATCTAAGAAACACAGTACTGAGAACAGTTATAAAATAACAGAAAATTCCTCTGAATATTTTTAATAAATGAAAAGATGCCAGAAAAGATAGCCCTACAGCTCTTCAAGGCAATACTGTACTCTTATTAATACAAAAAGGAATTTTCTGATGGGGCATTTTAGTGCTGCAGTCAAAACAAATCTTTCAAAAAAGAGATTTGCTCTGATGAAAGACACTAAAAATAGGAAGTATTCCATCTCTGAAGGGGTTTAAACTACTGAAGGGGGCACCTGGAGACGTCTGCAGAGTGTGCGCAGTTCTTCAGTATTTAGAGCATCGATCCTGCGGTGATACTCAGCCACTGACACTACCTGAATATGGAGACAGGAAGACAATAATTCCACTGACAGCTGAGAAAAACAGCCCAAATAAAATAAAACAAAAACTGGAGAAGTTTAAGTGGGAAAGAGAATTGTAATTAGGATTTCTTTCCCCACTCCATACTGAAAATCCAAGAGATTTATATATTAATCTACAGTGAAATACACATGAATATATTTAACTTATTAACTACCACATCCAACTAACTACTACTAGTACACAATGTAAAAGGTTTATTTTATGGATTGTTTCATGTAGACAAAATTTGACTGAGTAAGTAGAATCACAGTCCTTTATAAAAAAAATGCTCTATGAAATATAACAAGTTTGCTAACATCAAAGATAACATCTAAAATCTCTGTTGCAGTTTATAAAAAAAAATGGTAGTTTCAACTCTCCCAATCAGTTTAACTCAAACATTACATCCTAATGGCAATGTTGGAAAAATTTCTTCTAGGCAAAGGTAGCATATACCCAAGCTATACAGTCTGTATCATAATATAGAAGTCGAAGAGCAAGAAAAAGATACGAAGCACATTTTAAAACCTAAGACAATAAGAAAAATAAGCTCCGGAAACAGAAAATTAGATTTTTAAAAGCATGTCTACTTCAGTCTTTCTAAATAACCCTGAACTGAAAGTTTTTGCCTCTCCTCTACAGTACTGCTTTAGAGTTGGTACTGTAGCAGCTATCTGCGACTAAAACTTAATGACTTTCCTACATTCTAAATTACTAAGGGAAATTCTGTATCTTCTATAGTTGCCTAGACAAGTCTGTTGCACACTGCTGAATCTGAAAGCCATGTATGACAGATAAACATTATTATAAAACGTCCACCAAAACAGACAAGTTTCCTCAGACTGACACAACAGCTACAGCTTTTTCAGATCATGACATAATTCCCAAAACAGTAACCATAATACAGTGAACTCTGGTTGTTCTATAATATTTGCTGAATACTCCCGAGCTATGACAAATTCCTCTTGTGATCAGTTATGTGCAGAGGTTCTGGCCACAAAATGCAGTTAAATTAATTGACCCACAAGAGTTTAGACTTCTAAACTAGGTTTTTAAAAAGTTTCTTGTTCCAGCCAACTAAAATGAATCAGTTCCCTCTATAAAGAACTAGGTAAACTTGGTGAAAGCAATGAGAGACATGAGAATTAAAAAATGGAAAAGAAACTGAACAGATTTTCTCATTCTGGCCATTATTAGATTGACTTTCACAAAGCAAAGAACACATGCAATATGATAACTATCTCTCTACTTACAAAGAAACCCAAAGTGGTTATGATCTCAACCTCTGGGGAATTGGATGGAACTAGGTTTCCCTCCTTCTTTATCTATTTTTCTCAATGGGAACAATAAGACAAAGGAAATAATAAGAGTATATAAAAGAATGAAAGCAATAAGAGTACATAACAAATAGGGTTTCTGTGTAAATAAAAAGAAGAAATAAAATGCGCAAAAGGACTGAATGTAGTGCCCACCACAGAATAAACAGGGATTAACATTACTTCTACTTGATGATTTTCCATCAATTACCTAAAGACTAGAGGATAATGCTGAAGAGTACCCATATTTATGTTTGGTTTTTATTTTTGATATTAAAACATTTCAGTTTTCAGAGCTCAACTATTTTATATACAGATCTTCCCGACAGAGGAATTGAACAGAGATATCCTGCACCGCAAGCGGATTCTTCACCGAGTTATCAGGGAAGCCCAACCCTACTCTGAAATTTAAATTTAAAAATATTAAAGATTGATCAATTAAGAACAACAGTATTTTCAATAAATATGAAACAAAAATTAGGTACTAAAAGTAAAAAACTAAAAATCACAGCTTCCTTTTCTAAGGCACAAAAAGAACTTTCTACAAAATATTTAAAGATCAGTTATATTTTTCTTCTGTTTTCCTATGGCATTCAGTCTACAAGAGTTTTCTATACAAGAATTTTCAAATTATATGACTTAACTATTCCTTTCCATCCTTTCTATTCTTCCACTCAACACTTATCTTACACTTAAAGCTCTTTTACCATATAAAACACACTTTCTGGAGGAAAGTAAAGTTGAATTTGCTCACAAAGGGACCAGTTATAATCTATGTACCAACATCACCTAGAACAGGAACTGACAGTGAGGGAACCATAAATTGCCATTATAAGCTTATTATATCTGGTAATGTCATAGTTTCTTTAACGTCACAAATCTACTTTTCTAATATTTTTTTAAACTATATTCCTTTCTGGGACTTACAAACTCACCACCTCCTTACCCTGAAATATTTATTCATGCTGTGATGAATGGAGATATACAATATTGTCAAAAGTGCAGGTAAACTAATAAAGAAGAAAGATTTGAAATCAAATGACTATGATCTCAGATGGCCTTGGCTTGAAGTAGGATTTCGGGTCCCCTGGCCGGAGACTGAAGCCAGGCTGTGGCAGGGATAGCGCGGAATCCTAGCCACTGGACCACCAGGCACGGTGGCCAGTGACAAGGCCCTTGACTCATCGGCTCTATACAAATGAATTCCGACAGCGAGACAACATGTAGTGAAACAAGTACAGTGTTTAACAGGAGGTAAAAAGGGTATGTTACGAACAGACTCACATCAGTGAACTCAGAGAGCACATCTCGCGTTCATGGTAGTTTAAACAGTCATAAGGGACATTCTCTTCTGGGCTTCCTTTGGCCAATCACCGTGCGTTGCCTGATTCTAAAACTGTATCTGGCTTACCCCAGGGACCTTCCATGCGTGTTCACACATTTCTTAGACAAGATGGAGTCTCGCAAAGAGGCCTATAGGGAGACTGACATCACCTACTATGGTGATGATGATCACCCTCCCTTTTGACCTTCGAGGAACCTTTCTGCGCATGTGTGGTCAGGAAGGTCTCTGACTTTGAGAATGAGAAATATATGGTTTATTAGCTTTATTCTGGGCAAGGCTCAGATTCTCCTTCTTCTTGCTATTGTCTTCATCTTGGAGTATCTTCCCATAAAGAACAAACACCAGCTGCTCAGCATTAGGCCCATCTATCTCCACTGGCAACTAGAGAAGTATACTTCCCCCTATCAAAATGAATAAAGAGATACAGATTCCTAGTATATATGGTGGATCTGAAATTAGTCTCAAATTAACTTTTAATCCCTTAGTAAACCATAAACCATGTACAGAAAGTATTATTTTATCCAAAAGATTAAACCTAAGTAGAAAATGGACAGACTGCTACAAAATGTCCTACATCATACTCCCAAGTATTAAAGTACACAGTTAAGGAAATCAAGACCTTCTAACTAAAAGTGTATTAGCTGTCTGGCTAGAAAGTCATTTCTTAAGGTGCAAAGTGGTTTGGATATACTACTAAATCCCATATGCAGGAACTACCCTCTGCAGAATTCAGTGCTACTCTCCAGTCTTTGCAGTTTTTGACAAAGGAATCTCACAAACTGTTTGCCTAAGCATTTACTTTCAACAAATTACAAACATAAAGGCAGAGTGAAATCCACCCATCTCTATTACAGTGAGACACACAACTAAGAACAGACGCTGAAGAAAGGGGAAATGCAGAGTTGCTGTGAATGTCATGAGGAAGAACACGTTTCCCAGGAAGAAAGAGCAGCGCTTTGGTCCAACAGTCCTCTTGGGCTTCCCCGGTGGCTCACAGTCAAGACCCCGCCTGCAGTGTGGGGGACCTGGGTTCGATCCCTGGGTCGGGAAAACCCCCTGGAGGAGGGAATGGCAACCCACTCTAGTATTCTTGCCTGGAGAATTCCATGGAGGGGGGAGCCTGGCAAGCTACACTCCATGGGGTCACAGAGACTTGGACACAAGTGAGTGTCTTTCGCTTCGCCTCAACAGTCCTCTTTCTTGGATTTCCCCTTAGGATTATACTGTAAACAAACTTCCTTTCCCCCAACTGCCTTGCAGACTAATAGAGATATCTGTGAATGTGGAATTTTCATTTCTCATTTACTCCTTACTTTTATTCCTTAGTAAAGGGAGATGACGTATAAAGAAAAATGTTACTTAACAATGCCATTTACATTTACTTTGATATCCAAAAATATTTTTGAAAAGGAGGGAATTAAAGTTGAGCTGTTTTAGCTAACAAAAAAGGGCATGCAATAGCATCCTGAAACTACCTAAAACTCTGTTCTACATTTCATAATATATGAGATATTCTTTATTACAAAATTAGACCTGGGTTATGTTAAAACTTGGCTCCTTTTTGCTTTAAATTATTACTGTTTTCAATAGTTGTAATTTAAATCTTTAGTTAGGCTAACTAATAAAATAAGAGAGCATACAAATAAATTATATCATAAATGAAGGGAGGTCACCACTATTGATAATAATGGAATATTATAAACAACTCTATACTTTCAAATTTGAAAACCTAGATGAAATGGACCAATTCATTGAAAGACACAAACCACTAAATTCATACAAGAAGAAACAGATCCTCTGGAATAGCTCTATATCTATTAAATAATTAATAATTAATAGTCTTGCAAAACATAAATTACCATACCTAGTTCTAGCCAACTAAAATGAATTAGCTACCAATTAACATTAAGGTAACTCTATCAAAAGTTATGCAAACTTGTTGAAAGCCATGACAGACAATAGAAAAAAGGAAAAATTAACAGATTTTTCGTTCTGGCCAATATAATGATACTGATGTCTGCAAAGGAAAAATGCAAACCCTATCACAGCTGATTTTGTACTTACAAAGAAACCCAAAGTGGTATGATCTATAGCTCTGCAGCACCTTCAGTGAATCTAGACAGATTCACTACTGAATTCAATCAAACCTTTCAGGAATAAATTATAGCAATTCTCTACAATCTCTTCCAAAAAATAAAAGCAGACAAAATACTTCCCAACTCATTTTATGAAGGCAGCATTATCCTAATAAAAAGTAAAGACATACTAAGAAAGATAAATTACAGATCACTATCTCTGATGAACACACATG